ACGGATTCCCCCATCCTCCCTCCTCTCACCCCCCAGCCCTCCCCCCAATCAACCCCTCCACTCCCACCTCCTCCAAGGCAAGGTCTCCCCTGGGGAGTCAGCCCAGCCTGATAGACTCAGCCAAGGCAGGTCCAGTCCCCTCCTCCCTTCACCAAGGCTGAGCAAAGTGTCTCAGCATAGGCCCCAGGCTCCAAAAGGCCAGCTCATGCACCAAGGACAGGTCCTGGCTCCACTGCCTAGGGGCCTCCCTAACAGTTCAAGCTAATCTACTGTCTCACTTATCCAGAGGGCCTGGTCCAGTTCCATGGGGGCTCCTCCGCCATTGGTTCACAGTTCATGTGCTTCCACTAGTTTGGTTGTTTGTCCCTGTGCTTCCTCCAACCATGGTCTCAACATCTCTCGCTCATACAATCCCTCCTCTCTCTCGACGATTGGACTCCCGGAGCGCCACCTGGGGCTTGGCCGTGGATCTCTACATCTGCTTCCATCAGACACTGGATGAGAGTTCTATTATGACAACCAGGGTGTTCGGCCATCCAATCACCAGAGTAGGTCAGCTCAGGCACTCTCTCGACCATTGTCAGTAGTCTACAGTGGAGGTATCTTGGTGAATTTCTGGAGACCTCTCAAGCACTCTACTTCTTCCTGTTCTCCTGGGGTCTTCATGCTCTCCCCATACTTATTCAATATAGTGCTTAAAGTTCTAGCTAGAGCAATAAGACAACATAAGGAGATCAAGGGGATACAAATTGGAAAGAAGGAAATCAAGCTTTCACTATTTGCAGATGACATGATAGTATACATGAGTGACCCCAAAAATTCAACCAAGGAACTCATACAGCTTATAAACACCTTCAGCAATGTAGCAGGATACGAGATTAACTCAAAAAAATCAGTAGCCCTCCTACAGACAAATGACAAACAGGCTGAGAAGGAAATCAGGGATACATCACCCTTTACAATAGCCACAAACAATATAAAAGACCTTAGGGTAACTCTAGCTAAGCAAGTGAAGGACCTGTATGATAAGAACTTTAAGCCCCTGAAGAAATAAATTGAAGAAGATGTCAGAAAATGGAAAGATCTCCCATGCATGGATAGGTAGGATTAACATAGTAAAATTGGCAATCTTACCAAAAGCAATCTACAGATTCAATGCAATCCCCATCAAAATCCCAACATAATTCTTCAGAGACCTGGAAAAAACAATACTCAATTTCATATGAAAAAACAGAAAACTTAGGATAGCCAAAAGAATCCTGTACAATAAAACAACCTCTGGAGGCATCACGATCCCTGACTTCAAGCTCTACTATAGAGCTACAGTAATAAAAACAGCTTGATACTGGCATAAAAACTAACATGTGGATCAATGGAACTGAACTGAAGACCCCAACATTAATCCGCACACCTATGAACATATGATTTTCGACAAAGAAGCCAAAACTGTACAGTGGAAAAAAGAAAGCATCTTCAACAAATGGTGCTGGCATAACTGGATGTCAACATGTAGAAGACTGCAAATAGATCCATATCTGTCACCGTGCACAAAACTTAAGTCCAAGTGGATCAAAGACCTCAACATAGATCCAGTTACCGGAGTTCACTTTCTAAATATAACACTAGTAGCACAGACACTGAGAAAAACAATTAATAAATGGGACCTCTTGAAACTGAGAAGCTTTTGTAGGGCAAAGGACACGGCCAATAAGACAAAATGACAGTCTACAGAAGGGGAAAAGATCTTTACCAACCCCACATCTGACAGAGGACTGATCTCCAAAGTATATAAAGAACTCAAGAAATTAGACATCAAAATGTCCAACAGTCCAATTAAAAAAATGGGCTATAGAGCTAAACAGATAATTCTCAACAGAAGAAGCTCAAATGGCTGAAAGACATTTAAGGAATTGCTCAACATCCTTAATTATTAGGGAAATGCAAATCAAAATGACTCTGAGATACCATCTTACACCCATCAGAATGGCTAAGATAAAAAACACTGAAGACAGCTTATGTTGGAGAGGATGTGGAGCAAGGGGAACACACCTACACTGTTGGTGGGAATGCAAGCTTGTACAGCCACTTTGGAAATCAATATGGCACTTTCTTAGAAAATTGGGAATCAACCTCCCTCAAGACCCAGCTATTCCACTCTTGGGCATATACCCAAGGAATGATCAATCATACCACAAAGGCACATGCTCAACTATTTTCATAGCAGCATTAATAGCCAGAACCTGGAAACAACCTAGATGCCCTTCAACTGAAGAATGGATAAACAAAATGTGGTACATATACACAATGGAGTACTACTCAGCAGAGAAAAACAATGACATCATGAGGTTTGCGGGCAAATGGATGAAACTAGAAAAAATCATCCTGAGTGAGGTTACCCAGACTCAGAAAGACAAACATGGTATGTACTCACTCATAAGTGGATACTAGATGTAAAGCAAAGGATAACCAGACTGCAACTCACAACTCCAGGGAGGCTACCTAGTAAAGAGGACCCTAAGAAAGACACAGGGATTGCCCAATGACAGAGAAATAGATGATGAGACCTACATGAGCAAACTAGGGGGTGGGGGTGGGGTAATGGAGGGCAAGTGTTGGGAGAAAGAGAGCTTAGGGGAGAGGGAGGCCCCAGCTGGATCAGGAGCAGTGTGGGAGAATGGAGAGGGAGATACCATGATGAATGTCCACATAATTGCTTATGTAGACAATCTGAAAGAATTGACAAGACATTTTTGGAACTAATTGTAGCAAAGCTGTAGGTTACAAAGTTAATACACAGTGATTAATTTTCTTATGTGCCAGCAATGAACAAGTGGAAATTGGAGTTAAAAATACAACACTACTTATATAAGCATTTGATAAAATAAAATACTTAGCTAGAACTCTAATAATACACACATAAAGAGTGAATTTGAAGCCAGATGGACTATATGAGATCCTGTCTCAAAAAAGAAACAGAAATCTTGAAAGCAATGGTGATATTTTTCATCACATAATTGGAAAAACTTTTATACTGGCTGATTTTATGTCAACTTGACACAAGCTAGAGTCATCAGAGATGAGGGAACTTCAGTTGAGAAAATATTTCCATAAGAGTAGGCTATAGGCAAGCCTGTAGGGTATTTTTTTAATTAGTGATCAATGTGGGGAGCCTAGCTCATTGTGGATGGACCACCCCTAGGCTGATGGTCCTGGGTTCTATAAGAAGGCAGGCTGAGCAACATGGGAGCAAGCCAGTAAGCAGCACCCTCCCCCATGGCCTCTGCATTAGCTCCTGCCTCCAGGTTCCTGCCCTGTGTGAGTTTCTGCCTCACTGCTTTTGATGATGAGCTGTTATATGGAACTGTGAGTGAAATAAACCCTTTTCTCCCCAAGTTGTTTTTGGTGTTTCATCATAGCAATAGTAGCCCTAGCTAAGACAACTGTGCTCCATCCAGGGGATGGAATATTATTCAGCACGAGAAGGAATGAGCTATCAAGCCAAGGAAATATGTAGAGGAGATGTAGACACATACTACTGTGTGAAAGAGACCGTGTTTGAGCCTCACTGAATGGCATTTTGGAAAGGCACAGGTACGGAAACAGTAAGTAGGAGGGAAGGTGGTATGAACAGATGGAACACAAAAGACTTTAGTACTGAGAAAAATGTACTGTATTTTAAATATTTATTTAAAATACTCAACCATGGAGAATGTCTGCCATTACATTTTCCAAAACTTACAGAACACTCCACACCAAGAATAATTCTAAATGACAGATTTGGGGTTATAATGATATGTCAACACGGGTTTATCAATTACAATAAGCCCTATAGCAGGGGTGTGGTAGTGCAGGGGGTTGTGTGTATGGCTGGAAGAGGGAATGTATAAGAAATCTCTGTTCTTCCTCTCAATTTCCCTGTAAATCTAAAACTGCTCTAAAATCTCTTATCTTTAAGAAAGAACACTTACAGAGCATAAAACGTCAAGTACTGAAGGATTAATCTACAAAGATTCCATTAAAATTAAGGACCCCTGTTCATCCAGAGACAGAACTCAGAGACTGGAACAGCAAGCCAGAGAGGGAGAGCCCACAAACACCACGATAGGGTCCCACAGCTCGAATGTGTAAGGAACCAGAGCAATCATTAAGGAAAAGACAGGTAGTATTAAACAAGTAACAAGGAGGATGCCGCACCAGAAACACATGGAAATATGCTGACAATCAGAAGCGAGGAACAGTCACACAAACCACCAAAGGGTGTCAGTTCCATGAGCTTGAGAACAACAGAAACAGAGACGACATCAAGTCTCTCAGAAGCGAAGGAGAAAGGAAACTTTTGTATGTATTGGTGAGTACTACCCTTCACTCAGCAACACACACACACTCAATTACACATACTGTATGCACACACACCAAATACCACATACTACACCACACACACACCACATACCACACACACACACACACACACACACACACACACTTTAGAGATTGGACTTAGGCCTTATATATGCTACACTGGGTCACAGCTCCATCCCTTTTTTTCACTTTGAGAAGGGTCTCACTGGGTTACCCAGACTGGCTGGCCTTGCAATTGTGGTACCATCCAGGCAGGTCTCAACTTGTGGTCCTCTAGCTTCAGCCTCCCCACGAGCAGAATTACAAAGTTGGTTCTACATCTCCCTTTGCCCAAAGGTTGACATTATATACTAACGTTCAACGTATGATCGTCCTATGTGACTGATCAATTGCTAAAACAAATGCCCGGCAGCTTTCCAGGAACAGGACTCAGTGTATGTGGCCCTCACGGTTCCTATCTGAGCCCACCTTAGGCAGTCTGATACTTCTTGGTTCCTGGTTCCATTTAGTCACATAGTACTATTTTCACACATCTCATCAGCTTTACATATTTATGTTTTGGGGGTGGGTGGGTGGGTAGGTAGTATTTTTTATTCGAGAAGGCAAAGGTGTGTTTGTTCCAATCCTGCCCTTCCTCCTGAAGAGGATTAAAGAGTCTGGGTGCCTCTGGTCGTGCTTAGAAACGACACCAGGTGGCGCTCCTCCTTTTTCAGTCCCTGCCGCCTGCTGGCAGCTGAGCAGAGGGTTTCCCTGTACCCGGGAGCCAGGGCCCTTGTGCAGCCGGAAAGGACAAGGACACGTCGTCAGCTAACCCGGAATGGCCTGGAGAAGCCTGTCCTTTGGAGGAGGGTGCAGGACGTCTTTCCTCAAGACAGCTAAGGCTTTAGTTGGCTTGTAGGCAACTCTGTTCTTCCACCCTTAGGCAATCCCGCGGAGAGCAGAATCCATGAATTCGTTCTCTCTGGGCAACCTTGACTTAATCCTCCTCAGCGGCAGGCATTTACTGACTTAATCCTCTTCAGCCCGCAGGCATTTACTGGTAGCACACAAAAGGCTCAAATGGTGTGGGTTGTCCACTGAGGGGTGCCATTATAACATGGGGGGGGGAGGAGGGAGAGAGAAGGGCTAGTCTTAAAACCACGTGTTCTGTATCCTCTACTTTCCTGTCTCAGGTGCTGGGCGGCCCAGGAACAAAACTGATCTTGATGGAGTTTGGCATCAAATCGTCTCCAAGAGTCCTCCACCACAGGTGACTGTAAATTTCTGAAAGAAATTTCTCTGCTTCAACATGACCTGGGCCATCCATCCATCCTTCCATCCATCCATCCATCCATCCATCCATCCATCCATAGTGGAGCCTCCAGGCATGGCCAAATCGCCTGCTTGGTCTCCTCATCTACTTGTTGATTCCATTTTAACTGTAGCCTGTTACTCCACGAGATTATGTGTGCCCAACCACTTGCCCGTTGTGTTCAAAGCACTGCCCTTAACCACACAGATACTTTATGGAATGATGGTCGTGGGTGACCTAGGGCCCCAGGTGGATCTATCTGAAGGTCTACTCCCGCCTGTACAAACCACCCTATTCCAGTTTGTTGATTCTCTCTGTAACACAAGCCTTTCCTTGAAAAAATTCTCATGGAAAGTACTTATGAAAACCTCCACTGAACATTTGGGAAAAAAAGAAAAACGACCAGATAGTGTAACCCTGAACTTTGTGCATGTAACAGTCTCTAGTTACCCCCTATACCTGAAACCATCCCACGTACTACCATCCCATGAACCTCTTTGGCACTTTAGGATCTACCTAGTTCCTACACCCTAAACAAACTTTGAGCCAAAGTTTGCTCACCTAAAATCCATTGAGGTACTGGCCAAATTGAAGAACCATCCTGCATAGCAAACCCAGCAGGCAGACAGAACAATCCTCTCCTAGGCTGCAGCCAACTCAGTTTTTTGGAAATGAGTTTTTTTTCATCTGCCCATCTGACTCTGTAACTTCACACATCCATGTTCCCCCAGAGTTAGAGTACCCAGGCCTCTCTCAGCTACTAATATTTCTGTCTAGAACAAAATGCTTGGGAAGATGATATACAAAGGGTTCCAAGAGACCACCAGACCCTCTAAATGTCTGAGTCTGAAGCTGAGGTGTTGAGTCTGGAAAGAAGGGAAAATCGTCTTTGCCACCATGACTGTCTAAAGAGACATGGGTGTGTGCGTCTGTATTTCTCAGCACTAGCATTCTCATTTGTTGGAAGGAAGAGTTAAAAGGGGTCATGGTCCTCATTCTAGAATTTCCTCTGCTCCTCAAGACCTCCCCTGACTTTTAAAATATGCTTATAAAAGGAGCTGCTGAGACAGATGCACCTTGGAATCTCAGAGGCTCACGGGGCTTGTGCCGATTTGCCAGTCACTTCGTCCAAGGTGGTTTTCCCTGTCTTCATTCAGAGGCCCTGGGCCCTCCAGCTGCCAGATCCTTCTTCCTCTCCTTCTTTACAGTTGCTGGCAGACAGAAAAAGGTGGCAAAGGAGATACATCTGTGCTTCTGCGCATCTTTTACAGGAGCTCTGCCATATCCCACATGGCTCGTTACAGATAAGCAGGTGATTTGGGAAGCCTGGTTGGTCAGGAGGCACATGAATCTCTGCTGGACAAGCTGCTTGAGGCTGTTGCTCCTCAGAAAAGCAAATTTCCATCTGGGCTTCAGTTCCATGTATTTGCTCTCCTTATCTTTTTCTGAAAACATTTTTCATTTTCATTTTTTAAATTAATTAAGTCGTTGATTAGTTTTTGTGTGTGGTGTACACATGTGGATATGTGTACTAGTATGTGCGCAGGCACACGTGTGTACAAACAGAAGCTAGAAGTCCATGTCAGGTGTCTTCCTTGACATTGTATTTATGGGGACAAGGTCTCTTCCTGGCCTAGAGCTTGCTGATTAGGCTGGGCTGGCTCTCACTGAGCTCCTGTGATCCTCCTGTCTCTGCCTCCCCAGAGCTGGGGTCACAGATGCACAGTGCCACACTCAGCTTTTTATGTGTGTGCTGTGGACCCGAACCAGGGTCCTCATGCTTGTATGGCAAACACTTTACCTGTCTGAGCCATCTCCCCAGCCATTGCTCATTTTTAAACCTGAAGTTTCTATAGTTAATCCCTTCCTGACTCTTCAAATGCCTTTTCTTCTCTCAAATTTAAGACTTTCATTCTCCTTGGGGGAAAAAAATTATTGAATTGTTATTGATTTAGCCTTTGTCTCTCACTAGCCAGTTCATGTTTCTCTTTCCGACTTCCTTTCATGAGTGTACTGCCGCATGCTTGAGGGTCTCAGGTCTCAAAGATTCCACCAGGGACTACATTTCCCAGCCTTCCCTAATCATACCCCACGCATGTCTATCTGGGCCTAAGGACTGGTTTTCACCAATTGGATTTGAGCAGAATAATTGTGTAAAGATCTGGGGGAGAGATGTATGTATACGGAAGCACATATACCCTCTCCATCATCCCTTTCATCATTTGTAGATGCTAAGAGGAAGAAGGAAATGCTGGGTGGAGAAGAAGGGATTGCTGGATAGAGGGGACCTGGGCTCTGAAAGGCCACAGTGGCCACAGCCTCACCTTGACTGCTAACCCAGGAAGGTAACTTCTACAGGGACTGTGACAGAAACATGGAAGTCTGTGAGAAAGCTTCATCTCCTTTCTGACTTGCCTTTCTTCTGGACATCATCACTGTCTCCTTTCCCTTTCTTTCTTCCTAAAGGAACTATTAAAGGCATAGTGTCTTTTAAAAATTGTTTCTTTAATAAGAGGCTTGAAATTAGAAAATGCTTCAAATTTCCATTAAAAGAATCTGGAAATATAGAAACCATGATAGGGAGCGGGGGAGAGATTTTAAAAGTTACTTTACTGTAGCTTTTAATCATCTATAATTAGTGCCTACCATTTACTGACATTTACATACATCGTACTAAGTACTGCTGAAGCGCCTTCATTGAATTTCTTTTTCCTTTTTTGCGAAGATATGGGGTTTATTTAGTATTTGACTTGCCCAGCTTTTAGATATCAACCAGGGATTATTCTGAGGAAATCTACCAAGCTCTTTCTCTTCTTCCTTCCTTACATGTTTTAAAAGTTCTACTTAATTTCCTTAGAAATCAGTTTCATTCTTTTCTCTCTATCCCAATGAGCTGTAAACTGGTATCTAAAAATGTACGTATTTCTCTGCTATTTATCTACCCACCTATCTAGTACTCTATTGCTGTTCAAAGACAGTTGAGATGTCCTGTGTATATTAGGGTTCTCCAGAGGAAAGGAACCAATAGAATGTAGATGTTGTGGTCTGAGTCTGTAATGCCTCCTGTTGTTGGTCTTTCTTTGGATCGCCAGCTGCCAAATACTGGCGAGGAGACTTATTATTAATTATGAAAGCTTGGCCTTAGCCTAGGCTTGTTCCCAACCCATTTCTATTAATTTACTTTCTGCTAAGTGGCTCGTTACCTCTCCTCCTGTACATCCGATTGCCTCTGTGTCTGGCTGGCTTAATCCTGAGTGCCTCAGATTCTTCCCCAGTTCCTTTCTCTCCCCAGAAGTAGTTCCACCTATTCTCTTCTGCCTCGCTATTGGCCATTCAGCTCGTTATTAAACAGAAGGTGCTTAGGCAGCTGAGGTAAAACAGAGACGTATCTTCACAGTGTGATCAAATGGTCTTCCATGCGCTCATGACTGAACACGTGGTCTCCAGCTGGAGATGCCATTTCAGAAGGCTGTAGATCCTCTAGGTGACGGGGCTTAACTAGAGGAAACAGGTCCCTGGTGATGGGCCCTTGAGGGTATATATCCTTGGCTCCTTCTTGTCTAGTTCATTTCCACCACAAGCTCCCGTTGCTATGGAGCTGCTTTGACACGCCCTGCCCAACACGGTGAACTGAACCCCGTGAAGCCGTGCACCCAAACAAATATTTCCTTCTTTAATGGTGTTTTTGTCAGGCATTTTGTCAAATTCATGAGAAAAGAAAATACCCCCCACGTGTGTGTGTGTATGTGTGTGTAATGGGATTTATTAATTGGCTTAACTGATCACAGACTGAACAGCGCATGAACTATCTGCAGAGATCCATGGAAACCACTAGCTGCTCAATCCAAGAATCTGGAGCCCTCAGACCAAGGGAACCAATGACACAAGCCCATTCTGAAGCCGAAGGCCTTGAAACTCTGCAGGGAGTTGCTGGTGTGAGTCCCCATTCAAAAGCTGAAAAACCTGGAACCTGATGTCCACAGACCACAACAACAGCAAAAACACACCTGCTCAAGAAGAGTCTTGTATGCACATGCTCCAGGCTTCCCTCTCCTACTCTTTCTTTCCTTTGACCCAGGCTTCAAGTTGATGGGGTGGTGTCAGACACATTCAGGAAAGGTCTTCCCCACATAGTTTCCTGACCCACGCATCCACTGTCTCTGGAAGCCTCTCAGGCACTCCCTAAAGTATATTTTAATCATTTCCGAGATGTCTTTCAATCCAGTCAAGTTGGGAACCGATATTAACTATTACAGCTTGTCTCCTACATATTTGTTATTCCCAAAGTACCAAGCCAGGCAACTTTCTTGCAGCTGACATTAATATCCACGTCTTTAGACAATGGACCCATTCCACCAGTCTTACAAATTGCATATTAACTACTCCTTAAACTTCATCCCTAAACCTAACTATCAGAATTGAGCATAATTTGATATTTACACTAAAATTTCTGGAGATAGGTTTTAGAAACATCTATTTTTAACAAGCTCCCCGAACAATTTGGAAGCAGCCAGCTTGTTGCCAGCCTGCAGACTGGCATTTGAAAACCAAGGACCACTGTATCTTTCTTCACCCCAGAATCCTACATTTCCTTTCCTCTTCCTGTGTGCCACCCTACTTTCTCTTAGCAACCAAAAACTAGTAACTAAGCTGGCCCATCTTGAGATGCTCACCATGAGATAAAGATACACTTCCAAAGTCTTCAGCAAGTACACACCTCTATGAGACAGCAAAACATCGTCCTACCCATGAACCTCTATCTGCAAGTGAGTAACTACTTACACAACTCAGATAACACGGTCCAGATGTTTTGGAACACGGCACCCTTACCCAGGGACAGACTATTTAAAATTCCCACACTAACCTTGGACTCTCACTTGTCTTTATTTCTGCTTAGTACTTGGGACTCTCACCTTCTTAGAAACCAGATTCTGGGGTTTTCTCCCGCTGAGCCAACCTGGAGCATCCTCTTCTGGGCAGCTTTTGTAAAGAGGCTGTTAAAGGAGAACAAAGCAGATTCCAGAAAACTGCCATCTGGTTTCCACGTTGCAGATGCCCACATGAGCCTTGAAAAAAATCAGCAGGGGAGGAGGTGGAAGATCCTGTGGGCTGGCTGATGAAGGGAGACGTGCAAAGAGGACTTTTCCTCCTCAGAATTCCTGCACTTGAACCTAGGCATCATAATTGGAGCCAGAGAGAGACGACCGGTTGATGTTTTTAGAACATCTAAATCCTTCAGTAAACAATCTTATTTTTATATTTCTATTCCAGAGACCAGAGACCAGTGTTGTAGGACCACCTTCCTCGCTGTTCAGAGATGTGCAGGAAACGAGTGTTTATCTAATCCCCCATTGTTCCTTTTGCTTGTGTTTTCTAGTCAAACTTCAGCCAGACAAAAGGGACAAAGAGGCTTTCCCACCCCGTATATGCATGTGCATGTCACTAAGATCTATGTATGTATGTTATATGTCATATGCACATCCATATATAATATATATATGAATAATATAGGGTAATCTACATTCACTGTAGACATGGTAAAAGTCAGGGCAACAAAATATAATTGTATTTAAAATTTTTAGAATTTCAAAACTAGAGAAATCTTAGAGTTGATCTAATCCAACCAGCCTCATTTTAGAGGATAAATTTGAAACTCAGAGGTGAATTGCTCTGCCCATGTGCATGCAAGTTAGTCAGACTAGATGCATAGGGGTCTGAACACTGTGTGCCCCAGCTCTCTCTTGAAGAATAATTTGTTCTTTCTGCTGCTGTGAGAGCCAACAACACTAGTCTTTAGCGATCCGCCTCTTTAAGATTTACCACAGATGCCTAGGAATAAACCTTTCCTGGAGCAGTCCATATCCAAGGACCTCCTGACATACAGAAGGCCAGCCTTTTGACTTTGTGTGGGGACACTTTATGGACACTTTATCTTCAGACATCCTCATGGGGCTGAATGAGGCTATCAGGTGGGCAGTGGATCTACTCTGGGGTTTGGCTTCTCTCTCTGTTGTCCTCCAATTCGTCTACAAATGTTGATCCCAAGGGCACTAAATAATAAATAAATAAACATACTGACTATGTTTCCTGTACATTAACCTTCACCTTTGACCTCCATCTTCAAAAAACCTGATCTGGAACAAGAATGAAATAATAATTGTTATCTTTTTGTTCCTGAGAAAATATCGACTCTGGAATTGTGTATCTACATGTATGTGTGTCTGTCTGCCTGTCATCTCTGATATAGACATATGTATATGCATGCATTCCTGGTCTCCACAATTCTAAGAGTTTTTCTTTGGGTGAAAGAAAGAAAGAAAGAAAGAAAGAAAGAAAGAAAGAAAGAAAGAAAAGAAAGAAAGGAAACCATGCACTACTGGACCTTGAAAGAAATGCTGAGAAATCTTCATACAGAGCAATTTCCAGGCATGCCAGGGGAAGTCACGTGACTTTCCCTTCTGGTTCAGCAAAAGTCCGGGGGTTTTTCGAAGGGAGATTGTGTTGAGGGCTCTCTGGCTGCAAGAATGCAATTCGAGGACCATGGTCAGCAAGCCGCTAAGGTGGTTGTCCAGGGGCAGAGACACTGAGGCATTTAGCACCACAATAGGAACCCAAGGAGAGTAGATTAGGCAGAAGCAGCAGCATTTTAGATCAGCAAGCTAGAGCAGTAATACCTGTGAGACTCTTTGTCAATTATTTTTCACGTTTCTCTCCATACACAAATACACTGTGGTTCACCCGATCTTAAGATTGGTGCTTTTGGAATCAAGAGGCTGAGGCTGAAAAGCAGGTTCAACGTGTGAGTCCGTATATGTGTACATGTATGTAGAGGCTAGAGGACAACTTCGGGTGTTGTCCCACAAAAGCTCTGACCTGTTTTTTGAGATAGAGTGTCTTGGTTGGTTTCTTTTTTGTCAATTTGACACAAGTTAGAGTCATCTGAGAAGAGGAAACTTCACTGAAAAAAATAGTTCCTCCAGACTGGCCTGTGGGCAAGCCTGTGGGGCAATTTTTCTGATCGATGATTGAGATGGGAGGCCCAGCCTGTTGTGAGTGATGCCATCCTTGGGCAGGTGGTCCTGGCTTGTATAAGAAAGCAGGCTGAGCAAGCCATGAGGGGAGCAAGTCAGTAAGTAACACCCCTGCATGGCCTCTGCTTCTGTTCCTGCCTGGAATTTGTACCTAGACTCTCCTTCATGACAGACTATGATCAGAGCTTGTAAGCTGAAATAAACCCTTTCCTCCCCAAGCTTCTTCGGCCATGGTGTTTTATGACAGCAATAGAAACCCTAAGACAGATGGTCTTTCAGTGTTCTTCAGCTCATCAAGTAGGCTGCCTGGCTGCCAGCAACTCCAGGGATCCATCTGTCCCTGCTTCCCTAGCACTGGGATTACAAGCTGCCACAGTGTGTGGGTTCTGGAGATCAAGTTCAGCTCCTGCTTAGGTAGTCAGCGCTTAACTCATTGGTCATCTCCTCTACCTACCAGGGTCAGCTTCAAGAGAAACTGACAGTCAGAACCCTCTTGTATGTTATTAAATGTGAGGCCAACAGCAAGTGGGCATGCTTTATTGGCTCGTTCTCCACCACTGCCTTTTTTTCCCTCAGACATCACGATTGCTCCTACAGGTTACTGCCTGCTGTAGACACATGAAAACACAACTCCCACCTTGAAGGGGATAAGAGGTAATTTATTCTGAGTGACTACGGCCTGAGAACTCAGATTCCCAGTGTCCCAAATCCCACAATCCAACAAGGTAACAGTTTTAAGAAAATTTCCAGTAACAGAACAACAACAACAAAATTGATAAATCAAGATGCTTTTCAAACACACGGATGGACCATCCGTTAGGCAGGTTGCAGCAAAGTGAGGAATTCTCTGGCATAGGCCTCACATACTTATCTGATGACTTCTTAGCCTTTGGGTTCATAGAAACTGGTGGTCTGTTAGTTAACATACTCAAAAGGTTGATCTATGAGTCACAGGATGCTAGGCCAGGCAAAGGGGTGCACAAACAATAGTTATTAAAGGAGTTATAGAGATAGCCTAAGATAAACTGTAATTTGGCTTTGGGCCTGTAACATTCCAACCCTCCACAATCATTAAAGTGCGCATCTGTTAATCAGCCTGGTGGAAGAGTCAGCAGAAGGTGTGGGTCTTCCCGGGAGCTTCCATTCACCTTGCTCTTAACTGGTTTTGTCCATTCAACTCCCTTCTCTTCCTGAGCACCAAGAACTATGACCCTGCCACAAGAGGCTCCTATCCAGCTCTGCCTGTGCCTCTCTCCATGTTGAATATCAATACTACCTGGCTTTCTGTCTAGCCTCTCTCCTTCCCACTTCCCACTCCTAACATGGGCCAGTCTTTCTGCATATGATTTGCTATAACCCAATGCAACCTTGTTTTCAGATGGTAGGCCCAATGCCATCTTCAGCGGGAAGGCACCTCTGAGCCTTCTGTCTGGGGTGAGCATGTCTTCATAGTGGATTTGGACAAGACATAGTACAAGTCTGTCCCCCTCCCTAGGGGGTGCTGAAGGCCACAGACTGCATCCCATTCTTGAGTCCAGGAGTCTAGGCTAGGCCTAACTGTCATGCTTAGAGGATGATTGACGGTTTTCACTAACCCTGACAAATATAAAGGAAGGAGCCGCCTACCACAAGTAACTGGATCTTTCTGCTTCCATTTTCCTTTACTTACTGAGGCCAACAGAGTGCCAAAACTCCCCGGTGTGCCCTAGCAAACAGGAGGAGGATGAGGAGAGGACCTTTGTTCGTCTCCAGATGGCTGGAGTTGGGATAGAGCCCAACAGCTGTGTTTGGGTGGCAGGCGAGAGGGCAGATGGCCTGATGTCTGTTTGCAGACAGCCCGAGAAGCCACAGTCATGGAGGAAGGCCTTCTCTGAGGCTAACTCAACAAGACAGTGATGGAGTAGGGCAAATGCCAGGGCAGCCACTGTGTTAGCATTCACTGCTCACACAATGGCCAGCATGATTTCAAGGCAGCAAAGACTGAGTACTCTGTGCAGAAGGCTCTTGTATTCTTCGTGGTGGCTTTTACCATTGCAATCCAAACAAAGCCTTTTTTGTGTTAAAACTCCCTTAATTACTATCATTTAACAATTGGTTTAACACAAGCAAGTCTCATTAGATTTCAATCTCATTTTCTGCAAATTTGGGCAGCCATTGAAGTATTCACCCAACCAGCGCCTGTGGGGGTGGAAAGCTAAAGAGAGGGGCTTCTTAGTTGCTCAAAATATTGAGAACCAGAACATGATACAAAGCCTAGTAATTGTGTACAATGATACATACGTTAGATGTTTAGACTCAACTCTACTTGCTGAGTTCTTCATATTAAAGGTTAAAAAATGCAGGAAGGCAAATCCTTGCAGAAGCTGGAGGCATCACCAACACCGCTTTGCTGATGGTCCTTCCTCTCTTGATGCAGGGCCAGTCCAAACTGCAGGGCACGGTGTCACGTGATCTGAGGATGTGCATATGAGTTACGTGAGTTACCAATTTGTATACTCTACCAGACAGGCCCTTCAAATACGTGATTCGTTCTTCATCTGAATTGATTTTTTTCTAATTGGACATTCAAGCCCTGATTTAAAAGTGCCTTTTATTTTCTGTCCATACTAAAATTGAGATTTTGAAAGATGTAATGCCATTATTTTAAGCATCCATTCCCTACACTAGTTTTATGTTTTTGAGACAAGGCCTTGCTATGTAACAAAGCTTGCCTCAAATCTGTGTACCTTAGTCTCCCTGGTGCTAGAATTTTAGGTGTGCTCAACTGAGTCTGGCCCTCCACTAATTTTTTAAAGTAATACTGGGGAATCAAAACAAATTGAAGACACAGTAATGAGGGAAATAGAACAGAGTTCTTTCCTCCTCCCCCAGTTCTACCTACCAGGTGCAAAAATACCTTAGAAAGCCTTGGATTATTTATTTGATTTTAGTTTTTGGATGGGGTCTTGCTACACAACCTAGGCTGGTATGGAACTTGTGAGCCTCTCCTGCTTCAGCTTCTAGGTACTGGGATTACAAGTGTGTGTCATTGTGTCCGAGTCAACGTCCATTTTTTTTTTTTTTAACATACCTGTAACCAACAGAGCTATGACTCACAGTGCCTTCCCATCAAGCGGTCCTGCTGCCAGACAGATTTAGCTGGAGTTGTCCAACGTAAGAGCCACTAGATGTGGCCACTAAAATTATTTTATAATTATGTGAAAATTTCAAAGTTAAACATTCAGTCCCTCGGCCATGGGTTATTTTAAGAGTACCAAGGGCCCATGGTGCAAGTGCAAGTGGCTACTGTACTGGATGGCGCAGACACATAGCATTACTATCACTGCGGAAAGTTGGATAGCACTGAAGTCTAACTATGCAGCTCATCCCGGCACCAGTGAAGGCCTGCTGGCTTTTATGACTGAATTGACCTGTTGTCTGAATTTATTAATCAGTTCAGTTGGAATAACTGTGTGCTCAGGCAGCTGTGGGAGAGAGGATAGAAGGGGCTTGTTCCATGAAATGGTAATGGGGAAAGTGTTGAACAATAGTGATATTTACTGAGCACTCTACGCTGTGTTGAACACCTAACCTGTGTCACCTCACCCTCTGCGCGACAGTTTGATGACGACCCCGGTTTGTCAGGAAAGCAAAATGATAGCAGAACTGGAAAGGGTGTCTGTCTATTCAACCCTCGACTTCCAAAGCGCAGACTCCAGAGTTTGATTGGATTCCGTTATGTGACCTTGGACAAGTACCTCTTTGTGCCTCAGTTTCCTTATATGAAAAATGGAGAATTTTATATTTTTGTGATGTTTCAACATGAGTAATTCATATTAATAACTCAGAGTCTAGTTAAGTGCTTATTGTTGATTATTAGTTACTGGCAAGGAGATTCCAAGGAGATTAATGACTTGCTAGAGCTCACATAGTTAATGCCAGGTTAGGACTGTTTCTAGCACAGCAAATGATCCCCTTTATATATAAGCCACGTTGTGTCCTGTTCCAGCCACTGTGAAGCTTTGCTAGCCTGGCCCTTTTTATCTTAATGGCTTAGCAGCCCGTTGC